AAACAGAGAAATTCTTGGGTCTGGTTCGTACACGCCACCCTCAGCCAGGGCCACATCTCCCATCATCTTCTAGTGTCACTTAGACGGATGCAAATCCCCCGGCAGGCAGGAGCGCTCGCTGGTGTTTCCCAGGCAGAGCCCAGGGGCTGCCTGGAAGCAACGCCTGCCCCGGTTTGCACGCCTGGAGGTGCAGAGCCACACGGTCCTGCAGCTGCACAGGGCTCACACCCCAACACAACGGGCACAGAGCCCACGAACCCGCAGAGCCCACACTCCAGATGCCAGGCAGTTGGTCACCCGCTGCCTGGAACAGGAGGCTTGGACCTCTACGGAGACACGTTCAGCCTTTGATGCTTTCTGCAACATTCAGGAAGCAATGGCATTGTGCAAAACCCAGCCCACGGACCCAGCCTGGCCACAGAACAGACCTGCTGGGTCGCTAAGCCCAGCGCCAGCAGGACTCGGCTCAGCATCCGCAGGTTCGCCCTCTGCTGCTCTCAAACGACACAAGGCAGAGAAAGGAAGGGGGAACCGTGACATTTCCTATGGGAAACTATTCCTTCGCATAACGAATCTCCGCTGAGGAGATCACTGCTTTTCCTACCGGCCCCCAGGGACTTCCAACAGGGCTCCCTCCGTGTGACTGCACCAGGTCTGGCTGCCCGTGCTGGAGACGGGGGGCAGGCAGGCTGGCTGCCGGGGTGCACCCTGCATGGTGGGAGCACCCACGGGGATGCAGACGCAAAGAAGGGGACATGTGAATGCCAACGTGACCGGAGCTGAACACAATGCAACAAGCTTGGGAACAGCATTCCTGAGGGGCAAAAATGTGCAGCAGAAGTCCCATCACCTCTACATCGCCTGGCCCCTTCCTGACATCCTCAGTCCCCAAAATATACCCCAAAAGGGACTGACGTGCGCTGGCCGCTCCCCCCATATCCAAGGATGAGGCCCACGGCGGGAGGGGGAAAGCAGAAAGCGCCCGGCCCCCCCGCTGCCCCCCCCCACGCGGGCAGGAGGCCGTGCACGTGGCGTCCTGGATCACGCCGCGACTCCGCGATGGGATGCGATCATCTCCCCCGCACATGCTCCCGCTCCTTCGTTCCAAGTCACTGGCGCTGCAGGTCTCCATTTTTCCAGATTATCTCATTTTTGGCACCACAGTTCACAAACTGGGACTGTGCTTCCCACTCAGCCTCTCCATTTGGTATCTCTGGCTATAGGCGCTTTCCCGTTAAAAATAATAACAACAAAAA